GGAGGAATCTCCAACTGCAGACAAACATACAGTATTTACTATTGTATTTATATGAATGGGGAGATAATCATTATCGTCCCTGCTAATAATTAACGCTGCCACCTAATAATAATAGGAATTTCACTTTCTGTCGCAACAAACAATGTAATTGAATAGTATATAAATGATTCGTAAAATATAAGATGTTCTTAATGATGTGTAACTTCAGCACGATTTGCCATTATTGTAGCCATTCTGACAGGCATTGAGTCAATTAATTGGTTGAGATAACTAGCTGTTATCTCACGCCGCAAATCTTGGACCTTCATTCGAAGTGTTGAAGCTTAAATAAGCATGGAATAATACAACACAAAATGTACGTTAACAAAATGTATTGAAACAAAGAATAGGTACACAATATTTACAGTTAGATTGGTATATTCTTGGGAAGACTGTTCCTGCATAATGGGTTGACTAAATCGCAGTCGGGCAGAGTCTCTGGATTCAATTTCTTAATCTCTACTATCTTCCCCGTCTTCCGGTACCAACCCATATTTATATGGTCGGTAGTCCGCTTATGTAAATTAGGTGTATCATACACAACACGAAGCATTGCTTTTATTTTTATTTTCATTTCTTACAATTTTTCCTTCAATATGGCCCAAACATTTTCAGTTGGATTTGTATCAAGTAATTGTAGGGGTCATGACATAACTTAAAGTCCTTGTTGCTCAAACTAAGCTATTACTATCTTAACTTTATGGATTCGGGCATTATCTTGCTGCAGGATGTAATTAAACTGAACAAGACCATTCACATTAAGACTGTCCTCTAATAGTTGAATGTATCCAGCAGAATTCAGGCGATTAGGAATTTCGATATTTTGAATAATGTTATCTCCACAGAAGCAACCCCAATACATTATCTTGCCTCCTCCTCTGTGAATCATTTGTCTTGTCATTTCTGGTTGAAACACCTCTTTTCTTCTAGCAGCGGAAATATTGACGTTACTTTGTTTGAACTAAGTGGATAGGCACTTCATCAGTGAACATCACATTGCGCCATTAGTCGACAGTCCAGTTTTTCTAACTGAATTTAGCCATTTTTCTTACATCAGGCTGAAATCATTGATGTCTTCTTCTTAGTGACTCTACTACGCAATCGAAATGGCATCAAACGACCGCATGTTGTACTTTCAGAAATATTTGGGCATTGATCCATATTAAATTGCTGAGTAATTGCTTGAAAACAAGCGGTTGATTGAACACGATGCCGTATATGTAAACGTCGATCCTGGCTGACAGTAGTGCTATGACTACGACCAATTATTAGAAAGAATACTAGTTTTTTTAAAGTTTGAGATTATACGTGCAACAGTTGATAGGCCAACATTATATCACTTTGCAAGATCGTTAAGAGATACCCCTTGATTGTGTAGGGCACAAATTGCGCAATCCATCTTTCATGCAAGTTTCATTAAATATGACAGACAAGGTGCTTTGATTACAGTCAGATGTCGCGGCTTTGCATGTTGTAAATAGAGCCATGAAATAACTAAAAATAACATAATATAATGCATACAATGTTTATATAATGAATAAATAAGTAATTAGTTAATTCAGTAGGCTAAGTGTCAATGGAAACATATATTTATTATTATTAGGTGGCAGCGTTAATTATTACCAGGGTTGTGGGTGTGTGAGTCTGTGTGAACACACACACACACACACATATATATATATATATATTAAAAATTATTTAGTTAATTCTTTTTTTATCCCTTATTTCCCTTGGGCATTAGTTTGTTCAATTACAAGTCATAATACGTAAGGTTTTTCCAAACGAGTATAACTATATATATATATATATATATATATATATATATATATATATATAACGTCATCCACAGACAGACTGTTTCGCTGTTTCACAGCTTATCAGTGTGGCTAGACATCCGGTTGCCTCTAGCTAGGATCGAAACCCGACTGAATTGGTGTCAGATTCTACCACTAAGCCGTCGGCGCACGGCAGGGATGAAGGTGAATTTTAGCGTGTTTATTTTTAGAAACACACGCAGTGACCGACAGTGACTCAATTCGCTTTTTGCGAAGAGTCTCGCTATATTAGCTACAATAGTTATATATATATATATATCCGATGAGAAGGAAACTAATATATAAATTCCAACGTTCACAGCATTAATCCAAAAGAGGGCTCGATACCGATAGTAGAGCGATAATTATTACTTTTTATAATTTTATCATATAGAGAAAACCATCGAAGTGCAGTTGAAATGCACTGAAACGAAGATGAATCTTTGTAGCGAGTAAAATGGTTTTGTCTATATGATAAAAAATTATAACAAAATATATATATATATATATATATATATATATATATATATATATATATATATATATATACGTGCGTGTGCGTGCACGCGCGTGTGTGTCTGTGTGGGCGTATGTGTGTGTGTGTGTGTGAGAGAGAGAGAGAGAGTGGTTTCTTTGGACAGCAAATATTAATTCAAGAATTTTTGGCTGAAGACTAAAGAACATATTTCTTTAATTTGTTCTTATTGAATTTTCTACGGTCCGATCCATTTTTCCGTTTGAAGAAGAGTGCTGCTATCACGTTCCATAATCGATTATCAAATAATTTTGCTAATTAGATAGGCATGTATTTTTCTTTAGACCTACGTAATTTCTGTTTGAAAGAACCGATTGTAAGGATGAATTTATTATCCTAGATACTAAATATTGGGGCAGATTTGATTCCATATATATATGTCAATTTCCAACCCAAAATGCAATGGATTGACAAAGACGAATCTCCATAACCGACCCCCAAAATCAGATCTCTATGAAATGTAATAATGTACGTCTGTTAGGATCGTCGGGGTATTATTCATTTAGAATTCAGATAATACAATGAAATACTAAATGCACTTTTCCCCATGCAGAAGCTGCAACATGTTCATGCATTTAGTTAAAAAATATCACATTACTTTTCAGTAGAAAAAATGTCTTTGGCGACATAAAGAAAGAATAGCCCAGGAATAAATTTCGAATCTCACGTCGTCTGTTCCGCCATACCATCCAAATTTCAATGTTTCGATCGCCGTGAAATGTTTTTAATGACGAAAACGTTCTCTGAGGGAAAACCCTATTCAAGAGTTCATCAAAACATCTACACATCAAACTCTACCTCATTGTCCTGGTAGATAAGTAGCAATAGGTCATTGCAAACAATGGTGAATATAGAATTGACATTATTTACATTATTTTATGAAGAATAATATTGATATACAAAATCGGAAGTTAAGAGAGATATGTACGTAGCACAACCGATACGAATATAAAAATGCAAGCATCAGACAACTCTCAAATTTCGATCAGACAAGAATGCAATTGTCTACGTACTGAATATGAACTGGAGTTCATAATAATATTTTGAGTCCGATGAAAAAATCATTCAAACAAATATTTTATTATCAGTTTGTAAAAGGCTCATCTAACACAGGTTTCGATAAAAGAACGACAGTAGTTTTTTTTTTTTTTTTTTAGTGAGGTTGGATTTGTGTTCCTTTCTTAACATTACTGTTCAAACCTTCTAAGAAATTATATAAGCTAGTCTTAATATTCCGAATATGTCCATAGTTGATCAGTGAACGCAACTGATATAAAATGTCGTCCAATGAAGGTAGTTAAGATTATAGTATTGAGGTTGAATTTGTGTGTATTCTTATATTTCTAGTTTGTTGGAATAAGCCATTAAGCTACTATTTGTATTATTAAGATGTCTGCAGTTGACCAGTGATCTTGAAACACGACGGAAATAAAATGTCCGCAAATGAACGTGTCAAATTTTTTGGCAGTAAGATTGAATTTGTGTGAACTTCTTAAATTTGATAGGATTCTGAACGTGTTGAAATAGCATTTCAATCTATTATTTATACTTGTAATATATCTGCACTTGACCAAGTGTCACTAAAATCCGTCAAAGTAGAATATCGATCACTGAAGGTGTCGAATTTGGGGGTAGTGAGATTGAATTGTAATAGAATTCTTAAATTTAATAGTCCGAGTTCGTTGAAACATTTTCCTGGAGCTATTACTTATTTATTTTTTTAACAATTTCACCTCAAGCTTGGCGATAATGTTACTAATAGGCAAAAGGTTAATGGGAGTGAAAGTGAATTAGAATATTTTAGTGAAGAGAAAAGACAATTAACAAACGGGGTTAAGGAAGACAAAGATGGTGAATGATGTTGCATTTAAAAATTTGAATATCCTAGGTGAGAGAAAAACAAGAAATAAGAAGAGATTTCTATAGTCGAGAAGTGCAAGAAAAGAAACTATTAGAACATAAAGCTATACATAAAGCTATTTCAACAGTAAAAGGACGGAGTCTAGTTGCTACTTTACTAGAACGCTTCAATTCACGTTGCTGAGGTACTAAGGGGAAGAGCTCATTAGAAAAGCTGTCATGAACATATTTACTGAAAAGACAGAGGGAAGCCATCTAACAGCGGTGAAAAACAAACGAAAGCAAAACCAAACCAATCAGGCAGATAATTCTAATTATTGAATTCCTTTTTCGAATTTAAATTCGAAAACTGGTCTTCATAGCTAAGAAGTGTTTAGATTGGAGCGAATTTCATCATATTTGCAACCGAGTAATTATCATCAATCAATCCCTCCGGATCAGTTTGATAGGTAGTGATCTCAATCACCAGAAACGATCCTGCAAATGACATTGTCAAAGGAAATTTTAATAAGAATCGGCCATAGAAATCTGGTTTTCATTATTCAGTGTATAGACCGGTCAAAGAATTCCTAAATATTTAATGCTGCATACCCGATTAGATTTTGAAGTCTGTCGTTGACAGAATAGTCAGTAAACCATTCCTCGTGGACGAATGCTGTCCAACACACGTTCTGATTTTCGAATGGACCCAACAAAGCAATTTTGAGCAGTATACGACCAAGACCGAGTCGAACTTATCTTATACAGCCATTTACGGCCATATCACGTTCAAACACCGGTTTCCGTACAATCACCGAAGTTAAGCAGCTTCTAGCCTGATCAGTACTTAGATGGGTGACCGCTTGATTATACAAAATGCAGTAAGCTTGGATGCGCGGCTGGTGTAATAAATAATGGCTCGGAATCTTTTAGTCGGTGAACCTTTTATTGTCAGGATAATAATTATCTTTAGAGTTCATTCGTTGGATTATATTCCAATAATACATCATCTGACCAATGGTTATCAGCCATTATTTATACTATTTATACTCGGTGTATTGTCCTCATCTTTGTTGTTATTATAATATGTTGGATAATGTGTCCCCTTCTGTCTTTAATATATTTATATATCGATCAGGGAAACTTACATGGAATTCTGAAATAAACCCTTTATTTATTCTACGGCGGTAGACTGTTTCCCTTCTACTGCCCATGTCTGAGGATCGCTTGTGTAGTTCTTATTTTTATTTAGTGCTATTCAGTTATTGCTCAGTCATTTCCACTGAGTTCCCCTACTCACTGCCCGGACTAGGAATTGAACTCACATTTACTATGTCACCAAATTCATGTAATAAATAATGGCTCGGAATATTTTAAACGGTGAACCTTGTTTCGATTTCAGTTAGATGCGTTCTATTCACGTAAAAATAAAATAAAATGAATCCTTACCCTTATAAAAAGTAAAGAATGCGTTCTGTTGGTTACAAAAGTTTGAATTCCATTTGTTTGGATTATAAGTCGGAAGATTATTAGTGAATTAATTCCTATTGTCATCATAGACTGTGAAAAGCTTGTAAGTAATGAGCTTTATAGAATAGTTGTAAGATTCTCTCAATGAAAAATGGCAGTGATAAACGTAATGTTTTCAAGTGGTCTTTTTCATAAACTGTTGTCGAGATGAAATTCGGTCTCCAATGAATGACAAACGCAATAATTAAATATAAGAAATTAAATGTATTTACACAATAATACAAATGGTAATACTGTTAGTAAATCCATGAACGCGGTTAGTAGCAATAACATATAGATATATAGAGTCTCGAAGTAGGACTTCCTTAGAGTCTACGTGCTTGTAACTGACTTCTACAAGCGGTTACCTCACACTATTACTCTACCTCCAACTCAATCACAATCTTAGTCTTACTATCTCTACTCACTCTCCTGTATACTGACTGACTCTGGGTATTTAACGGCAGCAGTCCAAATATCACTTTGGTCAAGTCCATTTATATGAAAAAGGGGAGGATCCCATAACATAAACAAAGTAGAATAAAGATTCCCTTTCAAAATGGTCATTCCATGATTCTATGAAATGTCTTATAATTAATATTTCTTTTTCTTCAGCTGCTCTTGCCAAGCGGCCTTTCATTAATTCTTTCTTTCTTTGAACTGTTCTTATTTGTTTTTCCTTCTCTCTTTGTCTTTCATGTTCGGCTTTCTCTATTCTGCTCTTTCTTTCTTACTTTTTCGCCCCCATTCATTCATTCAATCATTCATTCATTCTTCCTGTCTTTCTGTCTTTCTTATACGATCCTCTCCTTTCTTTCTTTCTTTCTTTCTTTCTTTCTTTCTTTCTTTCTTTCTTTCACCAACCTAATTTATTCATAAACACTATTCTTCTTTCTTTCTTTCTTTCTTTCTTCATTTTTAAACCTCTATTCTATTTTTTTGTTTGGGAGTTTATTTGTTGTAAGTTGGTCTTTTGGATTCTTTCTTTCTTTCTTTCTTTATTTCTTTCTTTCTTTCTTTCTTTCTTAAGCCTCCCTTCTTTCTTTCTTTTTGACTTTCCTTTATATCTCTTTGTTTTGTTTGTCTCTTTCTTTCTTTCTTTCTTTCTTTCTTACTTAAAGCCTCCTATCTTTCTTTCTTTCCTTCCTTTCAAGTCCCCGTCATATCCCTTTGTTTTGTTTCTTTGTTTCTTTTTTCTTAAAACCTCCTTTCTTTCTTTCTTTCTTTCTTTCTTTCTTTTTCTTTCTTTCTTTCTTTTGTTTTCTACATCATTTTTTTCTAATTTTATATCCTTTTATTTCTTCCTACTTTCTGCTTCTTTTACTTTACAAATCTCCTCGATTTCACTTTGTTTTACATTTTTAGATTTCTTTTTTACTTTAACAATTTTGTATTTCACGTTTCCTCATCTTCCTTCTTTTCTTCTCTTTCCCTCCCACACTCTCTCTATTTGGTTCAAGATCTTCCCTTTTTAGCCACCTCAAAACTTATGCATGATTTATCGGCCGACATTCGATTATTTCCGGGTGACAGCTAAACATTACTCTATTACCATCGCTTTCGTCAGTTTGGAGAGACGAAGCAGAAAAAATGAACATGGCCGCCGATACTTCTAAATCTTTGGATCTCTGGATTGGCGATAATGGCGCTCGCCTACCCCCCCATACACACATACGCACACGCGCAAGCACATGCAAAATACACACACACACACACACACACACACACACACACACACACACACACACACACACACACACATATATATATATATATATATATATATATATATATATATTATATCATTTTTCTCAAATATTATTGTATAATTTTTTTAAAATACAAATGTGTGAAGGGCGTAAATAACTACATGTATTAGACAGATAATTATTCAATTTTATACAAATACGATTTATGGTTTTAAGCCGTATCTCTAGTTTTCCTTCCTTTCTCTTTTCCCATCCTTCTTTTTTCTTTCGCTTTCTCTCTTTCCTCCATTCCCAATTGATAACACACTCTCTAATTCACTGTGCACATCATGTTTAATGAATGTCAGTTATCAATTAATTCCTCTCTCGAATTTGTCCACTGCCTTAACCTTGTATTGAACTCACACTCTTTGGGTCCTTTCACTGGATCTAACCAACGTCATTATCCACTGTGCCATGTTGTCTTTGAGGATATTATTAAACATGACAACTGGAACTAGGACAGTCTACCCTAGTGACCGAAATAAAAGGTTAAGATCGACATTCCAACCATCTGAAGAAGGGCGGAGCGTACAGCGGTCGAAACGTTGTAATAAATATAGCGACAAAGACGAGGACAATAGTCCGAATAATGTATTTTTTTTAAGCGTTTAACACCGAGCAAGGCGAGAAGCCAGTAGGACGCAAGGGGTTACAGAAAATTTGGAGCAAGATCAGATAAGAGTGATAGAAGAAAGGATGAGGAGAAGGGTAGTGGATAGATCAAGGCAACTGGAGATGTCGATTGACATTACATTTGAATAGCTGGAGATTATAGCTCTCAGGGAAACTGGAATAGGGAAGGGAGTTTCACAGGCGAGAGGTGCGAGACATGAAGCTATTGGAGTAGAAGAGACGGCTACATTTAGGAGTGTACTTCTAAGATTGTGCTATGATTATACAAAATTTTATTCTCGAAAAATCGTCATAGCAATTTTATTGCATATACTATTTATTTATTTCTATTTTACACTCTGCGCGCAATTTGCTCTCACCAGTACTTAAGTATTGATGTGCAGAACCAATACATACATTGTCTCGTTTTATTTTTGTGGCTTTTATGATCGAACTGATAAGAAGCCTTTCAGTGTTTATTCACGTAATCTGTACAACAGCATCTTTCACTTGTATATTTTTTCCTTTTAACTCCACAAAATTCCTCTCTATATATATTGTATGTTTCTTCGCTATAAAAAAAAATCAAATATTACGTTATAGAATATTAAAGGTGTAAACATTTATTAATCCCAGTGAAAAGTTTAACTGAATTATTTTGTTTCTCATGTAGAATGTGTAGTTCAACTACATTTTTTTATTTGAAAAAAAAAATCTTTTAAATCACCAGTTACCATTTGTAATTCGGTGTAAGAATATAATTTCTCATTTATTATGAATTCCAGGAACTAAAATATATTAGTGTACACTATATATATATATAAAACTTACAGCACAATTCTCCTCAAAAATATAATTTCTAGTTATTGTATTCTCTCTTGAACAATTGCGAAGAACATATGACATTTTATTTTGTTACAAAGATATATCTGGTAATAAAATTCAGAATTATATATATCCAGCAGTTTTGCAGAACTTGAATCTATTGGAACCAAAATATTAATAAAGAAGAACAGCTTTTTCCTAAGAACTTCTTTGTGGAACAGACTCAGGAAATGATGATTCTTCCAATGTTACAATCCTAACCTATTCAAACGTAAGGACCAACATCTTCTGTTCGGCATATACTTATGATATGTAATTTGAAGCGGCAAAACAACCAAACTGCGTCATCCTATGAGCTGAGTGGCTTTTGTATTTTGTATTAAGACGCAGATGTCGGGGTAAACGGACATTTCTTTTTCATTGGTCAAAGAAAGATAGATCATATTTAAAGTGAAAGCCTCTTTAGGTTGAGAAATCTACCATAAGACAAATCACGCGGAAATAAAAATAATTGTATTGAAAAAAAAAAAAAAAAAAAACTAAATCGTATTTTAAAAGAGAAGTGATGATTATTTTAATTATTTATTTATATATATTTCTTTATTATTATCATTTTATTATATTATAATGTATTTATAATCTTTAGTTATATAAAATACATATTTGTTTATTTTTTGAGATAAGTCGAAGTATACATCGATTGTTTTATTTTTAAAAAAGTGTCATTTAATAAGTGTACTTTGTTAAGAATGTCTATTATCATTAAGAATTATTGTATTAAGAACATTTAATACATTGCATTTGTTAAATTACTTATACATTGGCATGGAAAATTCTATTCTTTTCATATTTAAGCGCAACATTTCTCTATTTTATGAAAGACAGCGTCACTTTGGAAATTGTAGGATAAGCATTTCGAGTCGTAAAGTTTGTTTTGCTTATCTTTAACTACTGGTTTAGTATTGATGATTTATTTCTCTACCATTTATCATTCAAATATTTTTAAAATATGTGCCGTTCATTTTGTTAATTTATTCTTTCCTTATTTATTGATTGTAACGTTTTTTTTTTTATGGACGAGTACGTATTTCAAATTATAGGAAAAGCGTAACGTTACTTTGTTTTGTTCAGTTTTTTTCTGTAGGTTCAGAATAGGTACCTCCACTATT